TCGGTCTCATCGACGCCACCTGCCACTTGCCCATGCCCGCGGTGCCGGCGCTGGACGCCCGGAGCTTCATCCCGGCGAAGGCAGCGGCCGCTTCCCCGCTCACCCGCCCTGACTTGATTTCGGATCCGCCGTGCTACCCAGACGTCCTCAAGTTGTGAAGCTCTCACGACGGGAGGTTTTTCGTTATTTTCGGCCTCTGGGGGCCCTGACCGGGCCTCGGGGCCGCGAAAAAACGCTTCAGGGTGAAAAAACAGTGCTTGAGAAATGGGTCGAGACCTCTGGGGGTCGACGCCATGAAAAAATCATGACGTCGGGGGTCTGGGTACGTTCTGATCTTCCCATGCCACATTTTGCCAGACACATGCCCCAAGCGATGCGAGCAAGTGTGGCGAACGTGTCCGCCTCAGAGCAGTGGGGTAGACATGCCCGTAGCGGTATAGGCGGAAACGGCGGCGGCAAAGCAGGGCGGAAATGGGCATCAAAGGAGCTTGAAAAGTAGGGCGGGAGTATCCGCAGGTCCCACACGGTACCCCAACTGGGGTCGTTCTCCGAGGACGTCTCGGCGGGCGGCTGGGGCGCCCCGGTCCCAGGACCGTGTGGTGATGGACCGGGCAGTGAGGTCTCCTGGGGGTTCGAGGTCACCGCACGGTCTGTCACCGCACCGCATTGGGGCCCCAAAGCCCAGACTCCCTCGCGTCGCGAAAAAATCGTGACCAGAGGTTTTTCGCTACTTTCGGCATCTGGCTTCCCTTCGAGGGCCTCGGGACTGTCCAAAAACGGCTCTGGATGAAGAGCCGGTCCCCGGGGGAGGGATCCAGAGCTCTGGGTGTCGACGTTGCGAAAGAATCAAGGCGTCGGGGGTCTGGGAGTGAGCGACGCAATTAAAAAAACGGGGTCTTTTTCGCTGGCGCTGGCGCGCAAGCTGCCCGCGCAAGCTCGCGCGTGGGCATGCGACCTGCCGCGCTGGCGGTCCGCGCAGGCCGCCGCGTAATGAGGCCAGGGCGGCCGCCCCTGGTCTAGTGTCTTGTCCGTCTCCAGGGCCTCATGGAGGCTTCTCGTCGGGTCCGTTTTGAGGAAGTCAGCGGCGAGCGAGGGGGGACGTGAAGAGGAGAAGGCCTTCGCAGAAGGCGGGGGGATTCTCAGAAGCCCTGGCGCCTCGTGAGAAGTTTTCTGTGTCTTCGGGGAAGGCTCGGGAGACTTTGAGGAGGCCAGTGGACTTCCGAGCCTTCTGAGGAGGCCCGCCCCTCCTCACTTTCCCCCTGGGCGCCCCGCCGATAATGGGGGCAGGGTAGACCCAGGAGGGGTCTGGGGACCGATTTCGGACGAATGTGTGCCTGGCGGGAAATCCACCTGGCACCTCGTTTGTTTTTGTTTCTCTCTTTCCCATTGCCTGGAAGCTGGATGCACATGGCGTGGCCGGCCCGGGCGCGAGCCGGATCCTTGGAACACTTTTGGGTTGTGAGAACACTTCGTGGCAGGACTATGGGAATGCCAGGACGGTCGGTCCCTGCTCAAGTCTGCGCTGTGAAGGAATCGCACCGTCGGGGGCCCTGGGGTGGTGCAGGGGACTGGGGCGGGAACGCTCGGCTGAAGCGGCCAGCGCCTGGGCGCCTCCTCCAGGCAGCTCCTCGCGTGCTCCGGAGACCTTCGGAGGCCCCCCCCCCCGGACTGGGACCTCTCGTGTGCCCCTCGGGAGCCCTCGAGTGACCCTCGGAAGCCTTCGGGCGGGGGTGGACAGACCTCCTACCCTGACACGTCGATCAGCGAATTTGCCGTTTTCGGTTCGCGAGAGAGCGTCGCGGCCGTCATTTTTGCGGGTCCAGGTCCGTCGGTTTCGGTCCCAGGCCGTTTTCACTAAGGGGAGGTTTACTAAAGGGAGGTTTGTCCACGGCCGACTCAGGTGCCCCCAGGGTGATAGGGGGGGCGCAGGGGGACGCCGTGGGACCAGCAAAGCAGCCCTGAGATCCGACGCTGCCACACAATGGCAACAGCGTAAGCCATCGCGCCTGGAGCCCCAGACCCCCTCTTTCTGCACCGCTCTTCGGGCCGCGTCGATCTGCGAGGGCCCCGGGGGCCCGAAGGGAGGCGAAAACGCCCAGCCCTCCTCCTCCTCCTCCTCCTCCTCCTCCTCCTCCTCCTCCTCCTCCTCCTCCTCCTCCTCCTCCTCCTCTCAGGGAGGGCCCCCCCATCCCCCCCGCGCCTGCAGCGCCTCGCGCTGCGGCCCCCGCTCCTGCCTGGCCGTCTCTGCGGCACGTGCGGGCCCGTCGTCGCCGCGGCCGGAGAGTGCTCGGCTCGGGCCGTGGGGCGTCGGAGGGCGCCCGGCAGGAGCCCGAGGCCCGAGGCCTGGCGGGGGCACCTTGGCCGCCGCCTCGGCGCGCTGACCTTGAAGCGCAAGCCTCCCCCTCCTCCTCCTCCTCCTCCTCCTCCTCCTCCTCCTCCTCCTCCTCCTCCTCCTCCTCCCCTCCTCCTCCTCCTCCTCCTCCTCCTCCTCCTCCTCCCTCCTCCTCCTCCTCCTCCTCCTCCTCCTCCTCCTCCTCCTCCTCCCCCCTCTCCTCCTCCTCCCCCTCCTCCTCCTCCTCCTCCTCCTCCTCCTCCTCCTCCTCCTCCTCCTCCTCCTCCTCCTCCTCCTCCTCCCTCCCTCCCTCCCTCCCTCCCTCCCTCCCTCCCTCCCTCCCTCCCTCCCTCCCTCCCTCCCCTCCTATACCTAAGGTAGTGGTGGTGGAAAAGGTGCGCGCTGGCGAGCGATTGGTCCCGGTTCCGTACGGCTCGGCGAGCTCCGTCGCCACGTCCGGCGGCAGTGGCCTCATATGCTTCGGGGGCATGCGCTCCCCCCGATCCGTGGAGCTGGCGCCCACCCCACGCCAGAGCCGTAGTCCCCGTTGAGTCGCGGGCGAACCAGCTTTTTCGCATCCACGACCTCGCGGGCCGGCCCCTCTGGGCCGCGACCACGCGGGTAATCACGGGGCGCTGCTGTCCCGCACGCCCCTCGCGGAGCATCTCCGTGCGACAGCTCAGACGCGGAAGGCTCTGAGCCTGCTCGCGGTTCCCCCTCCCCCTTCCGCAGCGGCGGGTGCACTGCCCCTTTGGGGACCTGGAGGCCTGGAGGAAGCGTGGAGCTCAAAAACGAGAAAGGACATCTCCGTGCGACCGCGTCTCCGCAGCATCGCGCCCCGAACCCGAGGCCGCGAAGGGGCGCGGACACGGAGATCTGCTCGCCGCTCCCGCGCGCGCGCGCGCCCCGACGGGCGGCGGCGTGCACGGGCCGCTGGGGCCCGCAGCCTTCTGGGCTCCAGCCGCTCGGGCCTCGCCCAGGGGCCCTCCCTGGGTGCAGCCCCGCCTCCCTGCCCCTGGCGGGGGGGGGAGGGCCGCCGGGGGGGGCTCCTTCGGGGAGCCCAGCGCGCCCATGGCGAGGCCCCCCGCCCCGAGGGGGGCAGGGCCGCCAGGGGCCGCGGCGCATGGGGCGCCAGGAACTGCTGCGCTACGAGAGCAGTGACTATGCGGCCGCCTGCGGCAGTGCCTCCGCGGTCAGCGCCAGCGCAGCACCGAGAGCCGTGTGCCCGGCGAAGAAGGAAGAATAATAATTATAATAAGAAGAATAAGAATACTAATATTATTATTATTAATAATAATAAGATTAATAATATTAATACTGAGAATAGAATAATAATAAGAAAAATATGAAGACTACTAAGAATAATAAACATAATCAGCATAAGAAGAAGAAACAACACAATAATAATAATCAGAAGAAAAATAATAAGAAGAAGAATAATAAGAAGAATAATAATAAGAAAAAGAAGAGCCGCCGTGAACATCAACTCTGGGCGCTCCGCGCGGACTTTTCTTGGATCCGCGCTGGGCCCCCCTGGCGGCGCCTCCGGCGCCGCCCCTGGCGCGCTCCGCGCGCCAGGGAGGGGGGTCCCGCGGTCGCCCAGGAAGTCCGAGGTTCGCTAGGGACTAGTTCCCCCAGAGCGACGGAGTCCTCTCGGAGTCCTTCCCGGAGGGAGGGTTTGTGGAGGGTTTCGGCTGTTTTGAAAGGAAGCCGGTCCCTAGCGAACCCTGAACTTTCCAAGGCCATACAGTCCCACGGCCAGGGATGTTTGCTCAGCGCGTCTCGCCGGCGGTTCCGGCCCACCACGCCTTGGCGCGACACGCTAACACACTTTTGTCCGCGAGCGTCAGCGTCCCGAGGAAGCTCTTCCCAGCCTTCCGACCCGCGGAGCGGAGAGACACACGGTCCGTTTGCTGGGCACAGCGTGTCGCCGGTCCCCCCCGCCGCGACGCGCTAAGAAACGAATCCTCCAGAGCGTGCCACGGGCCTCCAGAGCGTGCCACGGGGCACGGTGGCGGGCTACGCCTGGCTGGACCTCGAGCCGGGCTGCAGCGCCGAGGATGTCAAGAGGCAGTTCCGGCAGCTGGCCCTCAAGTGGCACCCGGACATGGTGGGCGGAAACAGAGCGGGGCTCAAGAGACGGGGTCAAGGCAAACGGGGGTCAGTCAGAGCGCCGGATCTTCAGGATCCTGCAGGGCCAGGGTTGCATTGACCCAGGCTTGGGCGTAAGATCCAGCAGGATCTTGCAGGTTCTTGCAGGATCCTACAAGCCCTGACTGACCCGGGCGGGCGGGACAAATGTCCATATGAGGCGTTCCAGAAAGGGCCTCGCCTTCGAGGATCGAAGGTGTTGTCATCTCTTCCGCGGCGAAAGGCGACGGACGGGCGGCAGGCGGCGGTCGGCGGAAGGGCGGCGGAAGGTCGGCGGAAGTAAAACGAGGCCGCCACCGTTGGCGGAAGCCAGCCGAAGCTGGGCGGAAGGCGGCGGAAGTAAAGGATGCGCCCCCAAGAGATGACAGCGTTTCTGGATTCAGGGTTCAGGGTTTCCGAAGTCGCCCATATCCACGGCCCCGCAGTCCCGACTCATCGGCCGCGAAGCCACGGATGCGGGGGTGTCTTGCGCGCTTGCGCAAAGGCCTCGCGCGGGACGCATCCGTGCGAGCGCGTGTCCGTGGAACCGCACCTCGGCATCTGGACTACGAGGGCGTGCGCATGTTCGGGCAGTTTGAGAACGCCCACCCAGACAAGTCGATTGAGGAAGTCTGCCCCAATTCACTATTCCAAATCCCTCGCTAATCGACCCCCCCCTAAAAAACTGGACCCCCCTCCAAATGCGACCTGATATTCTGGACCCCCCTCTTCGACGGGGCGCCTTGATAAACAGGACCCCCTAAGCTCCAATCCAAAGAAAACGCCCTAATAAACCGGACCCCCCCGGTTACAAAAAAGGCGCCTTAAAAAAATTGAACCCGGGGGGCGAGTAATGAGGGATTTGGAGTAGACGTTGGCATTCGCGTCTGCCGGTGCACTCTCCAGTCGGTTCCGCGCCATAGTAAACATGTTTTTGCCGGTCGCTCGTGTTCGGACGTCGATGAGCTACACTGAGCGGCTTGAATAAGGAACACTTGCTTTTCAAAAGGTGCTCGGTCGTTCCTTAGGTCTACATGCGTTGGTTACAGCTCCTTATGCGTTGTCTATTATTTATCGTTCCTTATGCGTTATTCCTTGGGATAAAAAAAACAGGGGCTTCGTCCCTTATTAATCGCTTCGCTCATGCCGCCAGCCCTGGAGCCCTCTTTAGGGCCTCTTGGGGGCCTCTTGGGGACCTCTTGGGAGTCTCTTGGGGCTCCTTGGCGGCGTTTTGGAGGCCCCCACGGCCTCTTGGGGGGCTCTTGGGGGTAGTCGATTGCGGCTCCCCCCTTATGTATCGTTCCTCAGGTCAGGCCGATGACTGCATGCCGTCTGGGGTCGCTCGAGGCGCGGCGCCGTGCGCACGTGGAGTGCCCTGCGAAGCTCCAGCAGATGGACCATCGATTCGAACCCTCACACAGTCGAGGGAGATTTCTAAATTGAAGCACACAGGCACCATTAATCCTCGATTCCCCCGAAAATATGGGAAAATGTGGGAAGTGGGGGAGAAAGCAGAAACCCAGAACATATGGGAAAATGTGGGGAATCGTTTTATTTGTGTGTATTTAGTTGTGTGTCCTGGGGCCCCTTCATAAATCACCCCCGCGCCCCCGACATCAACGTTGATCTCAGTACTGGCTGTGCTCTGGGGTTCGAATATCTCTGTCCCCTCACGCCCCCCCCCCCCGTCGCCGCGGCACCTTGGGCCACAGGGTTCGAATGGAATGTCCATGTACGGTCTCCCTGGGGGGCGTGCTGCGAACGGGTGTTTTGTCGACCCCTCGAGATCTGCTCGCCCCCCGTGAGGACAAGCACCCCGAGGGCCCCCCACGGGACGCGGCCACTGGCGTCTTCCAGCGCGTCAACGAGGCGCACGCGGTGCTCGCGGACGCCGAGACCCGGCGGAGGTACGACGTCGTGTGGAGGCGCGCCCACGCCGGAGCGGCGGGCGCCGCCGCGGCCGACGGGGTGCGTGCCCCAGGCCGACGTGCGAGTCAAATCTGCAGATCACCCGTGTGGGCGCGAGGAGAGTCGCGCCCCGCGCGCCGCGGTCTGGCCAGAGCGGCCGAGGGAGTACCGCTGCTCCCTGGCCGTCCAGGCTCGCGCCGTCGACTGCGGTGGAGACCCATGCCGCGGGTGCCCTGGGTTTCGTGGGCTTCGATGGTCTTGCGATGGAAAGCGTGACGTTCCCACACCAGCAGCCAATGGACGTCCTGGGGTCTCAAGGTTGAGTGTCTCGTGGACGGTTTCTGGTGGACTGGCCCCCACTGTACTGTATAGTGGCGACGACATGCTGCGGCCGCGCCAGGCCCGGAGAGTGCCGGTGCCCCCGTGGGGGCATCACGCCTCGCGCTCTCGGAGGGGGCTCGTTCGAAGCGAGTGCCGCGACAGTCGCTGATCTTTTGTTGTCCAGTCGCAGCCCCGGAGGTCGACCGCTTCCCCTGCCGGGGGTAGCTGTTCGGGCCGCATGAGATTATGATGGCCCCGGGGCCCGCCCCCGCGCTTTCCAGGGGCCGACACGGAGGAGACTCGCCCGCAT